GAAACACTCTGATTATCGCGACAGACGGCACTTCTCCCAAATTTTGCGCATCCCCTCGGCGTCCATCTCCATGTCGACCTCCTCTCTCGTCTTGCGTCCACTCAAAGACACAGTCTCTTCCCTCAGCACAGAGGCCTTGCCACGACCAACTACCCAGCTGATATGCTTCATTGAGTCCGCAAACCTGATGAAGCCATCCCTAACATGGTGTACCGCAGTCCGATCGCCGAACCTTGTGAGCTCATCAGAGCCGACCTCCTCATCGCTCGGTCGGATAATCCTCATGTCGACACTGATGAACACCCGCGGAAGTTGCTCCTTGCGAAGGCCCTCAAGAATAAAAGGTCGACCATCACCCACTGTGGGGTTCGGCGGCCTCAAAACCATCGACTGAAATGACCCCTCGGGAAGATCCTTCTGAGCATCCTTACCAAAGCCACAGTAGGAACCTCTTCTCTCTTCAATCGCTCCAATAGATCCTCCAGCCCCAGACCACACTCAGCTCTCATGGCCGTTGACTCCTGGTCTTCCCCTACCCCTACCGCAATTCGCAGCCGTGGGTCGACATCAACGACATGGGGCGGCTTTGAACGCACTATAGTCCTGTGGACAGCAGCTCTCTTGACACCGTATGTGTATGGACTACATAACAAGACCTTCCTCCATCTTGAAATCATTCCATTCCTCGCAATCCCCACATATCGATTGCCTCCATTCGCCCAACGTGGTCTTCGCCTCAACGACCGAGAGCCAGACCAAAGCCTCTCCTGTGTGACACATTTGTTCGAGCCAATCGGCGGCATTTCTAATTCCATGCACTCGGAACCGCAGCAAAATCACGACCTGATAAGGCATACTGCACTTCCCCCTAAGAGGTCCTCACAGCTCCTTCGCCGTCCCAGTATGCATTAGGCGATTCCACCGTCCGAGGCGTGCTCGGGACGGCATCAGGAGACCGTGGACTTTCAATCAGACATTCCCTCCTCCCCATTGTGGACATCTCCAGCCATACCTTTGGGTAGGGGCGAGGCGGCGCCAGGATACGCCCAGTCCCTGCAAGGGGGG